GAACCACTGCTGAATAACATTTGACATATTCTATCTGCTGACAAACATTAAAACAGAATCCTTATATTTAACAAAACAGGCCTTTCAAAATAACCCAAATGTTGTATGTTTATGGTTTGGTTAAGTTTACGCTAAGGGGTTGACAACATGTCACTCCTTATTTATAAGTAGCTTGGCTAATCGAATTCAGAGAATACCGGGTATCAGCACAAGCACAGATACATGGAACAAACGTTAAACAGCAGTTCATTCAATAAACCTGCTCCAGATGCAACCCAATCAAATACAGATACGTTCCACCCTCCTCCAATACCAAATTATTATTTGCTAATTACCTGTCAGTCAAATGACTTGCACTGATGTCTAGTTGGTTTACATCAATTATGCTATGCTGTGAATTTATCAACTCTTTTGGATAATGTTGGGCTAAGCATTAATAGTCTTCACTTTAATGAGCAAATAGAAACTCAACATGTACAAGAAACAGGAATTACATGGCCATGGATTCAGTTAGTTACACTGTGGTGTGCATCAGTCTTTTTTGTTTTAGCATATATTGGTTTACATTTCATCACAGTAAGTACACTGAATGTGCTACCAGCACTTGCTGTTTTGCTATTTGCTGTGGACATCTGAGATAACGAAATTCTCTGAAGGTGTAAGTCAGTAAATCTAAAATGTATATCATATCTGTGGACTTTGTTGTTTGTTTTACTAAGCAGGCCATTGCATCTTGTGTTTCTATGCTACTTTAGCATCAGGTAAAAATTGTGAAATGCCTAATCATCCAATGTGGACATAATTCTTAGAGATGCTGGGTGAATTTCTAACTATCATCACCCATGCCGGTTTCTTTTTTAGAGAATAGACATTTGACCGAGACTTGCAGACTGCGGATTCTGGAGTGGGAATTTAAGGATTGTTATGAGGTCCTTGGCAATCATAGGTTTTTTGTGTTTTATTGCTTTTAAAATAGTGTTGTTCATGTTTGGGGCTGACTTCAAGCTGTAGCTCAATATTTGAACCATCTTTTGCTTTGGCTTCTGTTGTGCTTCTATCATCGGTCCATTTAGCCTGTGGTCTCATCTTGGCTTAACTATTGTTGCTAATTCACAGCGACAAAGTTAACGGAGTGTGACAAACACAAAATATCACCAGATATTATTATTATTCAGATGTTATTGCAGATAGAAAATAAACGAAACGTTGCCTGGGATGTGTGACGTGCCATCATTTGGTATAGTTTTGAGTGTGACTATTCGCTGTGGCAACCCCTAAACTGGAAAAGCAGAAAGTGCCTTTCTTTGTGTCTGGTATTATTTTTCCATTTCTCCTCCTCCCACAGTCCAGAGACACACAGCTTAGTTTGGTTGGCGACAGACTTTGGGCTCCCATCTCACCAATCAGCTGAAACTTTTAGTCAGATGGATCAGTCTTCACCAAACTGACCTGAACAGGTACCAGTGATGTTCCCCTATCTGATCTCCCATTCTCCACCCAGACCATTAAGATACGTCACTGTTCTCAATGACCACAGCTTCAACTCTGACAGTTTTATGGGCAGCACTTCAAAACACACATTTTACAATAACACCTTCCCTTCGCTCACCAATATGGATTTCACCATTAACAACAAATTATCCTTTGTTAAAAGGTAAAGGAATAACACACATTCACCATCTTATCCAAAATAAGACTTTCATTAATTTTCACTTTTAAGAACAGTAGTAGTGGGAACACAGAATTTAGAATTTCTGCACCTAAAGTCAATTGTTTTACCAAGAATCAGCAACACTTGGAGCAATTTAAACGAACCACCCTTAAATGAAGAAGTGCTAAAAGTCTCACATGTGCAGAAAACTCTGTCAAAAGTTTATAAAACTCTCTGTAGGGCCGATTCCTCACTATCTATGCCAGTCTCTAAGTGGGAACGTGATATTTCCGTGACTTCCAGTGCCACCGACTGGACCCAAATGTGCAATAGTAGCTTTTCTGGGGCAGTGCTATTGAGACCTGAGTGGAACAGAAGTGTACCAAACTGTTGATCCATGACGGTCGATCGGCCTTGTTACTGGACCAACCCAGGGGCGGGGGGATACGACTGCACCCAGACCCGCCTGCTATTACTTCATCTCAGTCTTGCTGCTGGGGAAGGGACCGAGTTTAATTCGTTGTTCTCTTTTGCGCAAAAAAAGGCCTCGTGAGCATATAGGCTAGGTGTAAAGAAGTCCTTGTTTTCTTTCAGTCCTGTGTTGAATAGTGAAAATGCAGAGACCAACAGGCTTCTGGCTCTACACAGTGCTGCTGTCGGTGGTACTGAGCTCTGCTCTAGCCGAGGATATACCAGTATACTTCAGGGTTGGCGGCAGCCTGGAAATGAGGCCTCAGCCGGAGCAGACCGCCATAACCAGCATCGTGTGGGAACACAACGGTGATCTGGTGGCTGAGTGGGTGGATAATGAGTCTCCGTTGACGTACTGGGGGGAGTTTAAAGGCCGTACAACTCTGGACACAACCACTGGACGTTTGGAAATCCGAAACATGGGTAAAGATGACGCAGGGTTGTTTACAGTGGAGATTAACAACAAGGTCCAGAGTAAGAGTTATGCAGCCAGAGAGTTCGAGGAGGTGGTGCTGAGCTCTGCTTTAGCCCAGGATATACCAGTATTTTTCAGGGTTGGCGGCAGCCTGGAACTGAGTCCTCAGCAGCAGACCGCTATAACCAGCATCGTGTGGAAACACAACGGTGATCTGGTGGCTGAGTGGGTGGATAATGAGTCTCCGTTGACGTACTGGGGGGAGTTTAAAGGCCGTACAACTCTGGACACAACCACTGGACGTTTGGAAATCCGAAACATGGGTGAAGATGACGCAGGGAACTTTACAGTGGAGATTAACAAGGTTCAGAATGAGAGTTATGCAGCCATAGTGGTCAAGGAGGTGGTACTGAAGTGTGCTCTAGGCCTGGATATAACAGAATACTTCAAGGTTGGCGGCAGCCTGGAACTGAGGCCTCAGCAGCAGCAGACTGCCATAACCAGCATCGTGTGGAAACACAACGGTGATCTGGTGGCTGAGTGGGTGGATAAGGAGTCTCCGTTGACATACTGGACGGTGTTTAGAGACCGCACAACTCTGGACACAACCACTGGACGTTTGGAAATCCGAAACATGAGTAAAGATGACGCAGGGAACTTTATAGTGGAGATTAACAACCAGGTCCAGAGTAAGAGTTATCCAGCCAAAGTGGCCAAGGATGTGCCCAAGCCGACGGTGTTGGTAACATGTAACCCTGCCGTTGAGATCTGTTTACTGTCCTGTGATGGAGACACCACAGAGACTGGACCTGTCGACTACTACTGGAAGTTTGGAGACAGAGGGTGGAAGCAGAGGGAGAAGGACATTATCACCAATAAGACCGAGATACAAAGTGCTGAAACGTTCTCCTGCAGGATGAAGAACCTGGTTGATGAGAAAGAAAGTGACCCCGTGAAGAACCCTTTGTTCAAAGAGCCAAATAAGTGACCCTGTGGAGAATCTGTTCTACGGGGAAAAGTAAGACAGCTCTGCAGTGGGGTTGGATGTGGGACTTTTCTTCCTCTTCGCCTTCGAGGATGCGGCCTGACTTGTCCATTTAGCCTGTGGTCTCATCTTGGTTTAACTTTTGTTCATAATTCACAGCGACAAAGTTAATGGAGTGTGACAAACACAAAATATCACTAGATATTATTATTCAGATGTTATTGCAGATAGAAAATAAACGAAACGTTGCCTGGGATGTGTGACGTGCCATCATATGGTATAGTTTTGTATATACATTCTTACAAGATGTTGTGTTTTTATGTTTTATTCACTACTACTTAAGTTACTTTGATACCTTGAGTAAAATTGCTCATGATACTTCTGTACATTTACTTAAAGAAGAAACTTATAATGCATGACTTTTACTTTTAGCTAAAGATCTCCAGGCATGTTCAAACAAATATATATTAAATACTTAGCACTCAATAATAATAATGTGTCTGGTATTATTTTTCTATTTCTCCTGCTTCCTCCCACAGTCCAAAGACACGCAGCTTAGGTTGACCGATGGCTCTAAATTACCCGTAGGAGTGAGTGTGAATGAGTTTTGTCTACTTGTCAGCCCAGTGACAGACTGGCGACCTGTCCAGGGTGGACCCCGCCTCTTGCCCAGTGTCAGCTGGGATTGGCTCCATCCTCCAGCCAACCCCCCCTCCCCGTGATCCTGTTCAGGAATAAGTGGTACAGACGATGGATGGATGGTTTGTCCTTATCAGTTAACTTCATAGAAAGGTCAGCAAACAGAGTAAAGTCCAAAATCAGATCAGTATTTGCTGTGACTCCCCTTTACCTTCAAACCAGCCCCAGTTCTGCTCACTACTCCTGCACACAGAGCGTTTCCAGCGGCTTGGCAGGTAGTTTGTTCCAGCATCTTAGAAGCTGCCACAGTTCTTCTGTGGATTCAGGCTGTCTCTGTGTCTGACTCCATGATATTGGGATCGGAGCTCTGTGGGGGCCAGACCATCAGTGGCGGGACTCTCCCTTCTTGTTGCTGGTGAACATACTTCATGATTTTGAATATTTGGCCTCACTGTCCTGCTGCATTGTGAATAATAATGGATAACAGTGTAAACATCTAAAGTGCCCAAAACCTTTATACCGCACTGTACGTGAATGCAATATAAACTATTCTGTACAGCGAAGGTCAAACATTCGTTTTGAGTTTATGTAGGGAGTCAACGGGGTCAGGATTTTCTGCTGCAGTTACATCGAATCATCAGTAGGTGTCGCTGTAAACCCTACGGCTTGTCAGGCCAGAAGCTCAAAACACGGCGAGTGAGTTAGGAGGAGTGACGTCATTGTTAGGGTATTTTCAAGATGGCGCTGGACCAAGGCCGGAATGCCGCTACTGCAGCCAGCTAGACGCTGGGGGGTTTAATTAATCTTATTTACCCCGCTGGCGACGTTATCTCCGCAAGACGGGGCAAATATTGTTATTTTAGACACTGGAAATGAACTTGTTGCATCCGGCGAGCGCCAGGTAACGATAAAGTATCCCTGGCTAAAATGGTAGCCCCTTCCTCCAAGAAGAACAAAACCTGCTACTGCGGAGCTCGGCCGACTGGGCAGGAGGACTCGGTGCAGGATTCTACGCCCCGGGCCGAGGCTCGCTTGGCGGACTGAGCGATCATGGAAAAGGAGAACGGAGGGTCGTTTTCCGTCGACTTCAACGAGAACGAAGAAGGAGGAGGGGGGGTATCGCGCCACAAATCGTACATCGCACTTAAAGACCGCAGCATAGCGCTGCTAACCGGTGTCAGCGGGGGTCAGGAAGCTGGGAAGGGTCATGTTTATGTGACCGCTAACACGAGGTATGTAAACAGAGACGCCTTGGCACAGCCGCCCCCACACAACAGGGCGATAATGTTGGATTTGGTCGCGGCTGAGAAGTACCTCCCCGGCCAGTTCGCTGACAGATATGTGATTTCGGAGGTTTGTGTTGACCACGGCGGCCTGAACGGATTTAGTGAGTCACTCGGCCAGGACGAGCCGAAGATGGTGGGGCTGGAAAGAGGAGGAGACGGTGCAGGAGGAGGGCTCGGACTTACAGGGACCACAGTCGCTTCCTGTCCAGCTGTGCTCCGGGATCGGGTTTCAGCGGAGACGGGCCGAGAGATGCGGCATCGCCCTGCGGGGGAGAGTGAAGGGGAAAACCCGGACTCTAACGACACTACCCCGGGAGAAGAAGCTGCGGGCGGTGGCGCAGTGACCGGCGGCGCCAGGACTTCTTTCCGCCATGATCGACTGCCATGCGCTGTGAAGCACCAGCGGACCCGCGCTTGCACCGCACATCCAGATGTAAGCATGTCCAACGGGGACGTTGACAACCCGGGGTTCCTCGGTCCCGAAGTGGACATCGCTTATTGTAAAGAGACAGGAGTGCGTCCCAGCCCGTCCCTGGGCCGGAGACTCTGTTTATGTGACGTAGACTGTCAGGAAGTGAAAGTAGCCAACGGCGGTTTGCACATAGTGAACACGGCGTGTAACCGGCCCGAGTCCGACTGCTCGCACGAAGAAAGCACCGACATCCACTTCGACCTGCTGGCAAAGCAACAGAACGGGGACGGGGCGAGGTTTTGTATGAGGGACCAGAGGGACTGCAGTGGGCTTTTGGCATTTCAGTGTCTGGTGGAGGATGCGCCAGCTGCGCCTGAGCTCCCTTACTTCCTCGATCAGTCCACCCCGGTCCTGTCCAAGGACTCCCCCACTTTGGGATCAAGTGCCACACTCCCTTCACCCTGCCCGTCAACCCCATCCAACAGTGACAGCCCGCCTTCTGAATCCCACACCAGGGAGGATGAGGAGGATTTCAGTGGCCTCCGTTTACCCGTCAGGCCGCACACTTTGAGGACTAACCCCAACCTCGCCGTGTCCCTCAGCTGTGATGCCACCCCGTTGTCCCCCGAAGAGGGTGGATGCTTTTATTTTGGAGATGAGGGGTATGAGGAGAACATTCGGACTGCCTTGGAAGCGGGTCGCAGGCAGAGCGCCCCGGACAAGCTGCCTGACCCGGCTGAACAGACCAGCAGCTCGGACCCCAAGCTGCTGCCTAAGAGGTTCGGCATCGCAGATTTCTTCACCAGGTAAAAGCACCAGGCACCTTAGAGTCGCACACAGACAAAGCCCAAAGCTGTGACTGGCAGCGACCTGAGCCACCCCAAAGCCACACAAACTCTCCTTTAACCCTAGAGGGCCTGTCCTGTGTCAGAGTGTAATCCCCACTCCTCCGTGGTCTGATAGGACATTACAAACAAAAAGACATTTCAGGACACTTTAACTGTTTTCCTACTAGTAGTTTTCTCTCCTTAGTGCATCCACCTCCTTTAACTGTAGGCTTTATGGACTCACATCCTCTGAAAATATAAACACCTACACACCACACAGCAGCTGCAGGGCCTCCGACTTATGTCATCATTTAATGAGGACAGTGGCCAAATGAAATACCAGTGTCTGAGTGATGAACCTAAGTAGCTCACTTTAATTTAATTTATCAAACCAGTCTGATGAGCAGGCACAACACACAGTCTATCAGTTCTCTATTAATAGTGTTAAACAGGTTTCTGTCAGCATTGCCTCACATACAGATGTGCACAGCTGCTCGTAGTAAACTCCAGACACATTAGATCCTGTTGTGCTTCTTGGCTTCTGAAGTTGTTTGTAGTCGAGGTGACGAGCAGCGTTTACTTTGAGTCTTCAGTGTGTGCACGTCCAGGTGTCATGAAGTGAACAGGTCTCTGTGCACATTTGTTGAACTGTGCTCATCAGAAGCTTCAGTAAACATTTGAGTTTTCTAAGCAAACATGGACACTTCCAACTGTTTGTGTGTTGTTTGACCTTTGGCATCTGATCAGGTTTCTTCTGCAGAAACCTGTGCTCGTGTCCCTCTCACCGAGGGGCTCGCTCACACGTTGCTGGGAGTAATCTGATTACTGCCTCCACTGAGCATAGCAGTTCACTTTGTCACAAATGCGTCTTTTTGTCCACATGAATCTGCAAATCGTTGGTTTTCCTGCTAGAAAAGGTCAGAGAGCCTGTGGGTTCAGTCCACATGGTCAGTTTCTGTTGAGACTGAGGGGTTAAAGAGGACGTCAGCCCGGTGAATTGACCATTTAACACAGAGCTGTGGCCTGTGGCCTGGAGCTGCACGTTGATCCTCATGGTCCAGTTCTGTGTATGTGCACTAAACAACAAAACAGGGAGCTGAACTCAGTGCAGCCTGTTTCCTCGGGGTCTAGTCCACCCCCGCTGCTACCTGTGCTCCTCTGCAGCCGATTCATCGCCACTCACCCCCACACAGATGCCACTGTCTGCTTCTCAGCCGTGAAGCACGTCTCATATTCCTGATTCCTGGAAGGTTTTCAGGTTATCACGTGATCTTCTCTGCTTGGGTTTGAAGAACCACGCTCAGAGCAGGTTGGACAGAAATGTCATCATGAAATTTGGCCTCTTAAGTCGGATCTTAGGTATTTAGTTGTGTCGTGTACTGAACCTGACGTGGCTGATGTTTCACTGTGAACACAGAGCACAGCATTTCCTTTTCTACAAAGAATGGACTGTTCTGAAACACATAGGTAGTGAGGACAGAGTCATAAGGTACAAAATCTGAACTAAAATTTAAAAAAGACAAAAGTGGTATTTAATTGAATGGAACACGTACAAACTACTGTCATTAAATGAAACTTCGTGTTTGTGCAACTGCTTCTTCTTCTACTGTTTATAAAACCTTTGCCTCTCTTATGATTGTAACTTTATTTTGACTCGGTCTTAGTTTTCAGTTGCTGCTCGTGGCAATGTACAGACACATGAGGAAGTGAAAGAAGCAGAGGTAGAAGAAAATGTCGACGGGTTCAGGGACACCAGAGCGGTCGAGGTTTTTTGTTTGATTGTGTTTGGCAGGTGTAGGAAAACTTGTGCTTGTTAAATCTCTGTCTGGCTTTGGTTTGGACGCAGGCCTTAGCTGCTGGCTCGAATGTCTCAGAGGAAATCCAGACAGACGGAGAGGAACGCTGAGGAGAAGACAGGCCTGCTGGAAAACCTCCACGCTGGCTGTTTGCTTTGCAGCACCCAGGACAAAGCCACACAGACAAAAACCAGCAGAAACGCTTCTTTATTGAAGCAGTTTTACCAAACAACTTAGATTTTCACTGCCAGCGGCAGGTTTATTACTGTTCAAGGCTTCGCTGCTTCGTGTATTCATCAGTAAAATGGAGGTTACAGTGCTCCTGTCCAGTTGTAGTCATCACCTACAGACAGAACTGAATGCAGCTGTTGGATTAGCAGCAGGATAACACAGTGGATTGGTCCTGTTTAGATGTCGAAGCTTCATTGTGATTTGCTGCAGTTTGGAGTCGCATGCTTTCACTCTGTTCCATCTTATTCCATGACTAGCGACATAGGTTCTAAGTGAAACCGTCTGCACGTTGTTGAAGCTGTTCCAGAGATGCACAGAAATCCTTCAGAGCTTTTATTACCAACTCTTTTTGGTTTCAATTCTTCTTCTTGTCTTCTACTTTCAGAGCTTTGTTGAGAAGGTTTTAATGTTTAAATGTTTTTAGGGGGTGGATAACATTTAGTATCAGGGTGTCCTATCTAGAGTGTACTTGCTCCTCCCATCCTGTTTGTTGGACATGCTTATGATGTGGACAGGTCATGTGATGAGTCAGGTGACCATGCCCTGACCTTTGTTTACTCCTGTTTCTTGTATTATGTGATGTGTTGGCAGTAAATGTACTGAAGAGGTGTTTTGTGCCTCCCTTTTTTTACCCCCCCACCCCCCCCCAGCACCAAACACATGCATATACTGTAGCTCTCGCATTCACGGTGTCGTCCTCGCTCTGCTGAACAAAAGTGGAGCCACAGTGTTGAGGCCTTTTACATTTGCAGCTGCAGGTGCTGGTCAGGGATGTGAACAGGCGCTCGGCGTAGCCAAGACAGAGTGAAGCTCTGTGTGTTATTCTCTGGACGCTGGTGCTGGTGACCGGCAGCGTAGCCTGGTGCATCGCGACCGGCTCTGATAGCAGCATTTCAGCTGTGTGTAACCCACATTTGTGTGTAGACGCCCAGGAGCTGGTTCTCCTCAGTCTGTAGTGTGTGTGTGTGTGTGTGTGTGCTTCCTTCACAGAGCTCCACTTCGTTTTCATAATTCCCAGTTCCCTCTTTCTCATCCTAGCATCTGACCAACAGACTCGACTCTTCTGCACACGTCAAACAGCCTTGACGGTGTCGAGGGGTCCCCCCCCCCCCTGCCCCCGCCTCACTTCAGAAACTGCCACAGCTGCAGAGCCGTGGTCAGAATGATGACTCGGGTTATTTTACCACATTACATCTCCACTGCACTTCTTCCTTCTTTTGCTGAATTTGTTTTCCACCATTTTTGCACGACATTAACAAGCTGGAACTTTCACTGGAAGAGAAACGACAGCTGACATTAGACACTGTTCTCAGGTTTCCTGATTAATATGAGATGGTGAGGCTGTTGAGATGTCAGTGTTTCTGTAGAACAGGTCAGTGTTAGCTTGTTTTACAGGCCCCTGATGATTTAATAACTGTCTAGAAAGCTTCCTGGAGACAGATATATGGACAGTGTTCTGTCATAGTGCCCACTCCTTTATTACATTTCTTTTAATAAGACTGAGAAAATGGTATAGTAGATAATATAGAGGGAGACTGTGCAGCATCTAGTGCTGGGTCCATGTTTTGTGAGAGAGTCAGGTTGTTATGTAAATATTTTGTCCAGTGAATCTTTCGAGCAGCTGTGAAGAATGAACAGGAGTGGATTCCTAGAAAGACGCTCTAATACACCAGAGGCACTGGTTCAGAGCTGAAGTATGAGCCCATACTCAGGAACACTGCTAACAGCCCTTCTCTCTGTCTCTCTCTCTCTTTCAGGAGCCTGTTTACCCGGAAAGCCAAAGAGCCTAAGGCGCTTTCCCATAATGCAGCAGGGTGGCGACTGTTCGGCAAGACAGCAGCCAGAGTGGGCGATCCAGCGAGAGACCCCGCCTCCACGTTGTCCACACAGCAGGTTGGCTCCTTAAACGCACATCACCCAGTGATGTGTGGTGAAATGTTTTACCTAAAGTCAGACCAGAGTATTTGTTTCTGGTTCACTTCCTGTGCCGACGGTGTGAAGTGACTGCGACACTTGGGAGGCCACTGGCTGAGTCATCAGTGCAAAAGATGAACATCTGGTTTTTGTGGACATACCAAGTTAAAAGTCACTTATGGCTCTCGGTGCATTTAGCAGTTTAAATAGTATCACTCTCATGTCGTGGTCGTTGGTTGAATTCACAAACTACGGTGACTCGTTTTGTTCTGTGGGGACGAAGCATTCTGGATTCACTCCGGTTCACACCTGCTTTTCTCTTCAGCGGTGGCCCCCGAGGCTCATGGGTATCTGTATATACGTGGCCATCGCAGCCTGAGAGGAAACAGGATGATGTCTCTAACACCTTCGCTAACTGATGCTTAAACTGTAGCATTGTTAGGCTAGACAGGAAACGTTGTACGCTGAGGGATTCTGAGGATACCATTAGATAATCCTCTGGAATATACTGAGGGGAAGGAAACATTCAGAACCAGGGATCCTCTCACTGGTTAATCATTCAGGACAAAAAAGTAACAGCTGTAAAAGCTTCTCTGATGTGACGATTTGCTGGTTTTCTCTGGTTTATAAGCTCTGAGCTCTGTGTTCAGACTGTTTGTCATGTACAGACATCTGAAGACGTCGCCTTGGGCTTTTGGGACTTATGAAAGATATTTTCTGATTCTGTGACTCAAAGCTTCATTAGTGCAATTGAAGGAATGAGCCTAGAGTAAATCATATCAAAGAAGACGTCCCGGGCGTATGGCGGTTTTTATAAACCACTGACTATGAAGTGCAGGTGCTGCATTGTTTTTCTGTGGGAACCTCTCGACCACAGAAAAGAAAGCCTCCGCCCTCAGTGAAGTGCAGCGTTTGTTGGGTTGACCTGATGGTGTGTGTTTGTGAGTCTGATGCTCCTGATGCACGAGGCTAATGCTGTTAGCCTGTGTCTGTTTACATACAACATGGTAGTGGGAGTGAGAAAGTAAAATGGATTTACTGCATGTGTGTGTGAATGTGTGTGGTCGCTAGACAACTCCGACACACTGCCTGCAGCAGAGGATGCAGATGGTAACCCCCCCACCCCTTCACACACAGTTCAGCCCTCTATCCCCACTAGCCGTGCTGTGTAAGACCCTGCCAGCAGCGACACACACACACACTTGAACACACACAGCTGCGTTCTAGAGCAGGTGGTTTCCTGGGCACACTCTCTGCTGCTGCAGCTTCCTTGAATGTAATTAGATGAGGTTTGATTTTCACCTCAGACAGTGAAAAGTGTCAGGCAGCAGCTGAACCTTCAGCTGGAGGCCGTGGTACGACCCCATCTTGCTAAAGTCCCCTTGAGCAAGATACCAAATCTAAACCCTGTGTAGTGTGAAGGCTGAGGGACGACAGCTGGCCCTGCTAGCAGTGAACTGCCTGAGAGGCCTTAGCCAGAGTCAGATGATTCATCTGGAGAAGGAGCTGGCCAGATGTGGTTTGGTTTCAGATGGTTGACACGTCAGACAGAGAACTGAGGAGGAGGAGGAGGGCTGGCTTCACTCAGCTCGCTTCCTGTGAATTTATCTTGTGCAGCAATTAGCTCACCCTGCTCAGAGGGACAAGCAGGGAGTACTGCCAGAATGAAATGATCATCCAGTCCCTCACTCTGATCCTGTGTATTACCAGTCTATCATTTCTGCCAATGCACACGTTTCACATCTTAACGCAGCTCATCTAACACCAACTACAGACATAACCAGAAGTATGTGGATGCTCCCAGCACTGTGCACAAACCAGTTTTTAAAAAAAGATAATTGATCATCATCCAAAATGTGGCAGCTCAGCAGTGTTCACACCGGAGCTGGATCCATACCACTTACATGGATGTGAAGCATCAACACAGAACGACCAGGTCAGACTAAAACATCACACCTGAGCATTAGGGCCTGGGATGTGGACGCAGCCTTAGTCATGTAGCATCATTACAGATAATAATGCTACATGCAGAAATAGCTACAGCGTGACCCTGCAGGGCCTGAAGACCTTTGGACTGTGGTTGAAGGCAAAGCTTTGCACAGGGCTCTGACCTTAACCTCATCCCACACCTGTGAATGGGAGCCAGACCTTATCACCCAGCGTCAGTATCGGACCTCGCTAACACCTGTGGCTGCATGGGAGCAAATCCCTGCATCAGGTTCCACATCTGGCTGAAAGCCTGGAGGCTGTCAGAGCAGCACATTCATCCCCGGAGCCTGGGTGAGCTTATGTTCACTGTACTCTACTCCCTGATTTTACTGTTCAAATTGCAGTATTATTATGGTGAGTGATATTCGAACAGCGCCTTGGTTTTACTGGTTTTATTGGTTGTATCAGCTCCGTAGCTAATTTAGGTTTTTACTGTCTAATGAACAGATCAGCTCATCTGTTGGACACGTATTTGGTTTAAATGTTGCAGATTTAGTTCTAAAACAGTTCAACCCTGTGTTAAATGTTTGGTTTTTTTAATTAGGCCACATCTGTTTCCTGTCAGCTCCTTTGTTTTCTGGCCACCTTCCTTAAAGGGAACAGAAATATTTGAAGTGACTTTTCTTTGGGCCTTCCACTCATCAGAACTCTGAAATCTTTGCAGAACATTTACAGTGTTTTGCTGATGCTCTGATAAGGATATAGAAAGCTTTGTGGTGCAGTTTACTTGTAAATCTGTGGCTCAGTCACATGATTTGACACATGACTTTCACTTAGTGTAGCTGATGGCACAGAGGGAGCTGTGTCCCTCTGCTGGTGAAGGCCTGTAAAGGCTTGTTGTGTCATCACCCTGTCAACGGTCTGTTTATTGTGCAGGCTACATGCCCTCGCACGCTCGCACGCTCACACACTTCACTGCTTTGACCGTTGGACCTCAGTCATGCATGGGCACAAACACAGACCTTCATTAAGTTGTCTGCTCAGGCCAAATGTTAGTGCACATGTGCACTTGAAAACAAAGTTCAAACCACATACTTGCTTGTCAGCGTTGGTGGTGCATGTAAAAGTGTGAGTGAACGTGCACACACGGTCAGCACAATAACGTTTTAGAGATGAACCTTAGTAACAAAAACAACAGTAAATACAGTCAAAGATAATATTTCAGAATCAAAGTCAGTTATTTTAACAGCACTGGACAAAATCTTATCGCAGTCGCTGTTCTGGAGCTTTCAGTCGTATCACACGGTCTTCCTCTGCACACGTGACAGGAAAAGCATTTATTGCTGCAGTTTGCGATTTCGTATCTGTCAGCGTGCAGTGTGACGCGTTTGGCCCGACTCCAGAATGTATTTGATGGTCTGTTAAGATTTTAAAGTTTGCTCCGTTGTCTTTTTCAATGGAGATGAAGCAGCTGTTTTGCCAACAGGTGGTTAGTACATCGGCTTTAATAGGCTGCTAATGACCGAGCATCATGAGAGAAAAGTCTTGTTAAAATGTTGTTTGTAACTGTCAAGTACAGTGGATGTGTGATGTGTAGATGTGCCTGAGCTTGTAAGAAAGACAGGTGAAAGAAGCTGCAGGAGCTGGTGGGCCACGGTTTCAGCTGTCTCTAACAGTCTCTCTGTTTGGCTTCCACAGGAGGAGCAGGTGAAGGACTCAGGTGTGTCCTCAGGTCCTCAGTGCCCCCTGGCTGCAGGGAGGAGGAAGAACCTGGAGTTTGAGCCTCTGTCCACCACAGCCCTCATCCTGGAGGACCGGCCAGCGTGAGTAGCAGTCAGACGTGCAGGTGACACGTCACCTGTCTTTAATCACCTCCTGGTGATTAAATAATGACTTTAGATTTTACTCGTACTTAAATAATAGTTTAATAGGATAAAAGTAATTTTACATGCTCCTACTGATATGACACTTCAACTCCTGTCTGCAGTTTGCTGGGTGTAACTGGTTCAGTGTCCCCTTAAGGGAAGGATGTGAAGCTTCTCCTGACAAAGGGTCATCATCCTCCTGCGGTGGCCATTTTAGGACGTCTCATGCACAGCTTGTCAGGCTCTTATCCTAATTCTGATGTTTTGCTTGTAAAATTTAAGAAGGTTCCTTAAAAATGAGACCAGGTCTGTGACAGTAATCAGAAGAGTTGAAGAAGTGTAACTCTAATTATAGGTGCATTATTTCTGGGTTTGGGTACAAAATGGGATGTCTGCTAAGATGCATGTGTGCATCAGTTCTGTGTGAATGTTTCAGATTTTAAGGAGTCGTGATGTTCAAGCTCATCACTTAGTAACAGTGAGCATCCGGTACGAGAATGATGAGAAATCACATCACGCACAGAGAGACAGAGTCACGGCATCCTACTGCCTGAGAGGATGAAAAGCACACGTCTGTCTGACTGATTCTGTCTCTGTCCTTCAGGAACCTACCTGCCAAATCTCTGGAGGAAACTCAGAGACACAAACTGGAGTATGAGGAAATGGTGGCAGGAGCCAGGAGGAGAGGTAGACAGACACACACCCCTGTTGACAAGCCTCTTATCCCAGCCCTAATCAGTCCCTTTAAACTATGAGAGTGGGGCAGATCAGCCAAAATGTCCTCACTGTGATGGCATCACACTGGAATTGGTCCCCACACACAGTACGGATCTCAGATGCTAATTGTAACGGGCGTCTAAATGACTTGACAAAAACAAACAAACCAGCAAAGATTTTCTTGGCATTGATACTGAGCCAGTGTTCTGCTTTGCTTTGACTGGCCCAGACAGATGGTCAGTGGCCGGCAGGGTCAGTTAGTCTCTCTGCATCTCTCTCTCTCTCTCTCTCAGAGTTGAAAGAAGCACAGAAGAAGAAGCGTCAGATGAAGGAAAGACACAGACAAGAGGACAGCATCTCCAACGCCATGGTCATCTGGAACAACGAGATCCTGCCGCACTGGGACACCATGTATGTCCTCACAGCTTTGTGTGTTGTATACTGTGTGTTTGAGCTTGTTTGTGCAGCACCTATATTTAGGTCATTGTCCATATGTGTGTAGGAAATGCACGAGGCGGGTTAGGGAGCTCTGGTGGCAGGGACTTCCTCCCAGTGTCAGAGGACGAGTGTGGAGCCTCGCCATCGGCAACGAGCTCAACATTACGCCAGGTACAAACACATCCAGTATACACCCCTTGGACTCAAACACTGTCAGCAAATTCCAGGTGCACAGTCTTTCCTACTAACAAGTGTTGTGTGTGTTTTAAAGTCTGATACATCGTCTTCTTTAATGCTGTAAAGCTCCAATGTGTCCAGAAACTATTAAAACATGGCACATTCAAAGTGTCTGTGTTCAGGCTGGTAAATGAAGAGAGTAAGTTTGAAAAAGAAACTGATGCACAAAGTCTAGACACTAATTTGATTTCTTTATTGTGGACGTAGGAATGCTAATGGCTAGCTCAGGGATGCTAGTGGCTAGCTGCGCGGGTTACATATCCACTGGGTAGGAATGTGACTTACCAGACATGTCAGATGAAAAGCCCAGCTCAGTGAGCAGGTAGCCGACCTCTGTGACCGAATCAGTTGCTGGCCTCAGACGTAGGCTCCTGCACTTTCTCAGTGGTATGAATTTGGGCATGTTCACTGCAGCACGTTAAACCCCATGAGTGACCACACTGTTGCACTGGCTGACGTGTTCCTCCATTACTATCAACACACACACACACTGCAGTTTATTTGCTGCTCCAAATGCTAGAGATCAAATGTGGATTCACCCCCAACAAATTGTTTCTTCCTGTTTGTTTCATAAAAACTACAGTGAGCATTTGTGAGGTGTTATTAAAGACCTACAGTCAGTCACAAAGTACTGAAAGATGGACGCCTTGTTGTCATAGGTCAAAGCTGAAACCTGATTTCTGGATGTTTTTCTGTCCTGCTGCAGGTCAGATCAGATCAGAGCATGAGCCAGGCTGAATGAGTTAACATTTTTATAAAGGTGATGTGTTGTTCTCTGTGCAGAGCTGTACGAGATCTTCCTGTCCAGAGCCAAAGAGAAGTGGAGGAGTTACAGTGAAACCAGTTCAGTGAACGACAGTGAGAGTGGTACGACACAGCACCAGTCTGTCTAACACTCACCTGAGGTTTACTGTCACACAACATGCTGAAGTGTTTTTCTGTTAGATGGAGGCGCATCTCTGGCTGACAGGGAGTCCAGTCTGGACCTGATCAAACTGGACATTTCCAGGACCTTCCCATCTCTCTTCATCTTCCAGAAGGTAACAGGCAGCGGGTTTCAGTTGTCTGTGTACATCTGTGGTTTATTAATTTGTCTGGTCATCACCTCCCCCAGAGGGCTGGTTGAAGGCTGTTAGAATCTGGTTTTAGATTAAGATTAGGGGTTTGGATTTGACAGCTAGCAGTGGTGTCACCGTTGGTCGTCTTTCCTGATCCCTCTCTGGCATTTTTATATTAGTCTCATTTTCATCAGTCGCTTTAATTGTTGTGGTGTATGAATATATCCTACTCCACCGCCGTTTTAACGGTTTCTCTTTCCTTTGTGCAGGGCGGACCGTACCACGACCTCCTCCACAGTCTACTTGGGGCTTACACCTGCTACAGACCTGACATCGGCTATGTGAGTTAGCTTTGTGCTACCTTCTTCTTATCAACGATCATCATTTTGAGTTAATCAGCTGCTTACAGGCCAACAGTTTTCTCTTCTGATCACAATACATTAGTGAAGGAAGGCACAACCAGCCGCTCGTGTTCAAATGAAGTTAGGCAAAATGAAGATTTAATTCTTTATTAAATGTCCTCATCAAATATTAGGTAAACATAATATCTGGCCCCAGATAACAGCCACTTGTAACTTCTGTTATTTCTAAATTTAAATGCATATACATGAGGAAGAAATGACCAGAAGACAGTTCATCAGAAGGGATGTATGGAACAGCTGTGACTTTGCTTACTTGACAAGAAACCATGTGTTTCGTTTTAATCTTCAAAAATGCAATAGAAATGTATTTGTATAAATGAGTTGAATCCAGATGCAGCATGTGACAAGTGTCTGCATTAATAAATATACACAGTATTTCAGGTACGGTAACAGTTGTAGTGTTAAAACACAATTCTGTTTGCTAAATTGCTAAAAACCTATATATTTCAATTTTTAAACCTGAATGTCCTCTTTTAAATCCATCCATGTTTAATGCTGATTTGGCATCTGTGGTCTCTCAGGTCCAGGGCATGTCGTTCATCGCCGCTGTGCTGATCCTCAACCTGGAGGAGGCCGAAGCCTTCATCACCTTCGCCAACTTGCTCAATAAACCCTGTCAGATGGCCTTCTTCAGAGTCGACCATGAACTGGTACACACGCGACAACTTATTATTCATGTTATTCACGTTAGGCAGTTTCTTCTGGAGAACAGTTCTGTGTCTGTTTACTTTTTAATCGTCGCCTGGCTCTTCACTCTCTCTCCGTCAGATGCTGAAGTATTTTGCAGCCTTTGAGGTTTTCTTTGAGGAGAATCTGCCTCGTCTCTTCAGCCACTTCCAGACCAACAGCCTTACCCCTGACCTCTATCTCATCGACTGGTGAGTCAGACTTCGTTCTCTTGATGATCGAATCACGGCAGGAGACGGAGATGGAGGGGTGGAGAGACTGAGGTCAAAGAAAAAAGAGTAGTAGGGAGAGGTTAAGGCAGAAAGAGAGGGGGATAGAAAGAGGACAAGGTAGAGAGAGGGTAGAGGTACAGAAGTAGACAAGAGGTAAGGTCAAGAGGTTACAATAGTGAGAGAGGGGTAGAAAGAGGTCAAGGTAGAGAGAGGGTTGAGGTACAGAAGTAGAGAGAGAGAGGTCAAGAGGTTAAGGTAGAGTGATAGAGAGAGGTTAAAGCAGAAAGAGAGAGAGGTAGAAAGAGGATGAAGTAGAGAAAGGTCAAGAGGTTACGATAGAGAGAGGGTAGAGGTACAGAAGTAGAGAGAGAGAGGTCAAAGTAAAAAGAGTAGTAGGGAGAGGTTAAAGCAGAAAGAGAGAGAGGTAGAAAGAGGATGAAGTACAGAGAGAGAAAGGTCAAGAGGTTACGATAGAGTGATAGAGGTTAAGGCAGAAAGAGAGAGGATAAGAAGTAGAGAGAGAGGTAAAAGAGAGGTCAAGGTAAAAACAGCCCCTGCAAGCGAGGGATAGAGTGTCACAGCCTTTTAAACACATCAGTACGAGCAGCTCAGTACCAGTTACACTAGTATTTAAAATGAGAGACGACAAAGTGAGAAGCAACAAAACACCGTCTTATTCAGGTACGTTCACAAGATGTGTTTTTAAGCTTGTACAACACAAAAGCCAGTTAAACAGCTGTTATGAATGTGTGTGCTGGGCGCTGACACACAGCTTTTGGTGAATGCACCTTAGCTTGAAGCATTTCTTTAAGTTGTTTGGATATTTAGCAAAGTACAAGTGCTTACCTGTCCCCCCCCCCACCCCAGGATCTTCACTCTGTACAGCAAGTCCCTCCCTCTGGATGTGGCGTGTCGGGTTTGGGACGTCTTCTGCCGGGACGGGGAGGAGAGTTTGTTTCGGGCGGGGCTGGGCATCCTGCGTCTGTACGAGGACATCCTACTGCAGATGGACTTCATCCACATTGCTCAGTTCCTCACCCGCCTGCCGGACGACCTGCAGCCACACACACTCTTTACCGCCATGGCCAACACACACATGATCAGCAGAAACCGGCGCTGGGCTCAGGTCAGTAGCAGTGAGCCCACGAGAAGCACAACATGTTAATAGTTAACTAAATAATGTTTTCTTTCAGGTGTTTTCTGCACTGATGAAGGATGGAAATAAAGAGGTGGACAAAAACTCCAGCCCAGCTTTGAGAGGCTAACACTAGCCACCCTCGACACTAACGCCATCTTTCTTCAAACTAATGTCAAACACTAGCTGTGAAGCTTGACGCTAACATCAGAGGCGAGTTGTGCGGCTTGAAGCGAACGTGAGCCAGACATGAAGGAAGACGCTGAACAAATGGAGCTGTTGGCCTGCTCGTTCCAGCTGGTGGAGGAGGAAGCTGCTCCGGTGTTTCCTGAAACCTGGAACAGAGCAGGAAAGCAAAGCAGTTGGTCAGTTCTGAACTCCACAGCTATCGTCAGTATTTCACTCTAACTGGGGAAGTGACTGGTTGTGTTCACCAACCTGCCAAACGTGGAGAATTCAAACCGACTTTCAGATTATGTGTTACTTCCCCTGCAGGTCAGTGTTTGACCTCTGGGGACATGAAGGCCACTAACCCTGAGCGTTACACCCTGTGTGTAACTCAGAGACTCCAGATTTCGGTGCTAATGATTTTCTAACAGCTTCTGATTGATTAATGTAGGTCATTGTAGGTTTGTTTTCACAATATCATTAATCTGCTGCATTTTTAGGTTGAACCAGGCTTCTGGAGTTAAAAAGGTCGGGACTCTGCACTAGCATGGCTGCTGCTAACGTCCTGGTTGTAGTGGTTAGTTAGCCTCCCAGTTAGCCTCCCACTTTAACCTTGTGGTGTTTTAAACTTTTCAGCAGTAGGCAAAAAGCAAAACAGGCCCAATGAAATCATTTTGTAGTCTTATCAGTGACCCTAGTCACAGACACAGTGACTAAATGTTTAGGGATTTTGATGTTTTTACAGGAAATTAGTTTCTCCACGGTCCATTAGGCCCAAGAGGTTTTTCCTACATGTGTTAATTAAAAATTTATCCTGAATATGAACGTAAACCGTTAGGGGTCGTATAAAGCAGAAAATGAACAATGACGCTGTTGCTGTGTAACCAGAAAGATTTTTCAGTCTGTTTATCACAGCTGGTGATTGATCGACGGTGTTGATTTTTAAATCTGAAGGAGCTAAAAAGACAAGTGTCCACTTTCCATAATGTTATTTGGGTCAGAATTGTCCATATGAGTCTTGTGGAAGCTCAGTGAGCCAACAGTAAATGAAGACGCGTGTTTGTACTGTAGAAGTGTGGGGCCGTCGCGGGTTCAGTCAGTGTTTTACAGATTCAGATTTACTCTCAGAGCACTTTATATTTGCAGCACTGAAGCTAGACGGTGAACGGCGGCTGTGGTGTAATCATGTGAACCTACACAGAGCGAGTTCACAACGGGACACAAAGACTTGCTGTTTGACCTGTCACTGGGGAGAGGGAGTTCAACTAGACCACTGAGTTTAGAGCACAAACATGAGGTCAGACGTCATGCAGAATACTGGAGCAACAATACAGCTTTGCTTCTAGCTCGTCAGCAGCAGACTGGAGGGTTATATCGCTGACTAACGCTAAGTAAACGCCTGCATGTTGCAGCATTTTCATAGGAGAAAGTGAAAATTCTTGCATTTCTTTTTTGCTAAAGCTGTGAACAAAAGGAGCAGGAGTGATAAACTCTGCTTTTACTTGGTTTGTTGTCTGCTGCTCAGGCTCCACTGTTCACGGGCCAATTAGATCTCACAGCCACATAAATGATAATCTGTTGTAAAATGGCAAATATTCTTTGGTTCCAGCTTCTTTAATGTGAGGATTTACTGCTGCTGGAGGATGATGTGACATATCGATGAACTGGGGCTGCACCTGGCCCCGACTGTCATCATTTGATCAATTTAGTCTAAAAGAAGTGAAAGTGTTTCTCAGAGCGTCGAGTGAAGTCTTCAGATTAGAGCAACTACTCAATTAACCAATTAGTTGATGGTCAGAAAAATCATCAGCAACTCTTTTGGTAATCAAATTGTTCAAGTTGTTTTTCAAGCAAATAAAAACTTGAGTCTCTCAAAGATTTTCTTCTGTTCTCTGTTTTCTATCAGTGTAAAGTGAATATCTGGGGGTTTTAGACTTTACACCTGGGGATGGATATTTCCCTCTACTTTCATACATGTTATAGACTAAATGATCACTAGAGAAAATAACTGGCAGATTAACTGATAAAGGAAATTATTTCCAGACCTAATTCAACAAACAGTCCTAAACCCAAAGATATTCACTTTCCTGTCAGAATATAACGTTAATATATGGTTATCAGAAAAGTTGCTGATTGTTTTTCACAGAAGCACATTGCATTCAGCAAAGAAAAATAAAATCTCATCATTATGACTTACTATTTCACGATAACTTGGGGCTTAACGCTGCAGAACCTGACAATCATAAGGATTTCACGAATTCTTTAGTATCAAACTAATTCAGTAACAGTCAGTACATCCAGTAGTGCACAGCAGAAGTGAACTGTTAATAGCTCATTCCATGTACTTGGTGTTCCAAAACAAACAACTATAGACCACAAACGGGTGGTGCTGCCTACAGGGTTACTCACTATATACACATGTACTGAGCAGGAGCTTCAGAACCTGCTTGAGAAACACTGGGGTTGTAATAGTTCTTCAGTATTAATGTAATTCTTTCAGTACATACAACAGCAAATGTAGGTTAAAAACAGGGCCCACGCTCGTATCTATGGCAACATTATCGCCTAAAAGTAGGATCTGTGCACACGATTAAACTTCTACGTACATTTTACAGTTTGATGTGACATATTCTAAAATACTATGTAAAAAATCTTTTTTAAAATAGATGTTTAAGCTCATAATCCTATAGAAGGCCCAGCAGCCAGTAGGATCAGCCAGTAGGATACCTGACATTAAACAGGCAGTAACGCCTCTGTCCTCTTTAATATCAACAATAACGGCCAATGACAAGATCCTGAACTCTGGATCTTGTAATTATGACAAAGCATTAAACGTTAATAGTCATCACTTGTGATCAGATGTAGTTAAACCTCAATAGAAAACAGGAAGTAGGCTTTCAGGCTATGTAACGTTGCCATGGATACAGTGCTGTTTTTAATCCCACAGCCTGTTTGTTTCCATTTTGGAACACTGAGTAGGCTGAATCGGCTCTTAGCAGGTCACTGTGCTGTCAGACTAACATCAACAGTCTAATGAAGAGAAATGTTTCTCAAAGCTGCTCAGTGCACGTATAGGCCCATAGTGAGTTACACTGTAGACAGCAGCTTTGAGGCCCGTCTTCGTTTTGGAGCACTAACTATGCTGAATTAGTTAACAGTTCACTTTTGCCGTGCACTGTTGGATGTACTGATGACTATCACTGAACTCCTCTGGTACTAAACAATTTAAAACCCTACGTTATCTCATAATCACGAGAAAAAGAGCTTGTAGTTATGAGATCTTTTCTCATAATTATGAGAGAACATCCTCCATTTTCTTCCTTGGTGAATACAATGTGCTTCTTTAGTTTTCAGAGCTGAAACAGTCAGATAATTAGATTGAAGGATAAAAATACTCTTTAGCTGCAGCTAAAGCATGCACCATTATTCTGCAGAGGTCACCATCATGTGCACACACACGTTGTCATTAAAGACGTGATCTAAAATAACTGTTAGAAACCCTGAACGGATCTCAGAGATGATGCCTCGGCCTGCTAAAGAGCTCTACACAGCTTCTGTCTCTGCTCTGCCACTTTGTTTAACACTCCTTTGGTTTACACACACTCCCATCTCATCCCTGTCCCTGGATCCAAACACATACTACACATCTTCACTCCTGATGACGAGTACTTTCCAGTTACCGACCAGCAGATGAGCAGGCCTTAAGCATGTGCTGTCCTCTCCCAGGCACCGTGCTGTGTGTGTCACCGTGATGTCAAAGCAGAGACGATGAGTAACCCTGCAGGGAAGGACGGGGAGACGAACCACCAGACGTTAGCTGCAGCCACAAAAACAGTGAAGTTTCTTTTACTGTAGTTTTTTTAAGTATGTGTTATGTTTATCAAACTAGAAATAAAATGAACATTGTGAAGCAGAGAAGAGCAACAAGACAGCGAGTGAAAGCTGCAGTGAAGCAGGTCCAGACTGTCACTGCTGCTGTGCAGAGTGACAACAGAGTGTTAGTACTGTGAGAACACATTGGATATGATGAGAGGCAGTGACAGGCGCTGAGGGGCGGACTGCTGTTTTCTGCATCACACTGGTGTTGCACCAAACATCAGCCATCTACAAACCAGTATACAGGTTGACAGACCAGTCAACGTGCAGCTGTGTTAGACACTGGTTTAGATACAGTGTGAAAACCACACAAACTCCTCGTAACTGTTCTCAGCCAATCAGGATCTTCTCAAAGCTAAACTTGACCAAAGTGTTAATTAAGCACGTGCCAATAGAAGATAACTGGAATTTAAGTCAGATGTTAATGAGCTTGTTCCAGACTGAGTCAAAGACACGTGCATGTCTTTGTGTATGGGAGAGCGTCGGCTACAGGTGCACACTGTTTTCTCTCACAGCACTTTGATGTATTTCAGCTTTTCAAGGTGTTGCTGACAGTTGAGCCAGTGAAAACCTTTGTGTGTGTGTGTGTTAACCAGCACGCTGCTGTTTGTAACAGACCACAGTAGGTGAACTACAAACGAGAGAGCGCTCTCTGAACACACTAACTACACAGCGGTGAACTTGCACTAATCAAGAGGAACAGGCTTGTGAACAAAATCAGTTCCCATTAATGAATCAAGTCTTCACATCAGTGAGCAGGTCGCTCGCTTCTCAGCATCAGTAACAGACGCCAACCGGACTAACTGGGACCGGGGCTGACCTAGTACACAAACACTAAATCCTTTTTAAGCCTCATACAGTCAGGACACATTCCTGTCACAGCAGGAACCGTCAGTTTGTCTGGAAAGACAAAATCAGGAGACATTTTGCAGCATTCTGACCATAAGTCCCTGCTTCAGCTGTGCTTTTGTTGGAGTCTGACCAGAATCCAGCTGAAGCCCTGGTTTCTTCACATGCTCATAGCAACCTGTTTCATTCAGCTTAAGGCTTAGTTTTAGTTGAGGAAGACATTAACAATGTACAAAATAAATCTAGTTTTGTTCCTACTTGTTAGCGGTTTTTATGCCCTAACACAGTGAGAGATTAGAGACCAGTGTTACTGTTAAATCGCACACTAACATTACACATCACATACAACTGAACAAATTAAATACAGAAGTGTCAAACAGAAGTTTTCAAACTTTCTCTGGGTCCGTGCTCAGTCATGATCCGTATTCCTGCAGACTGGACGACCTAAACCGAGGTGTTGAGAAGTAAATGTGTGTTGAAGATGAGAGAGGCTTTCGTCAGCCACAGCTCCATAATTTACAGAATCAAAGTGCAATATGGTCTTTGGCAGCAGACGCAGCCATAACTACCCAGAAACGCTCCCTTGGTTATCGATGAGCTGTTCCTGCAGCTGCAGAGGAAGCTGAGATTAATGTGATACTCCCCTTTTTATTTAAGTTGCATCATTGCTCTGCCTTGTATTTTATACTACCATGTACATTCATTTAGCTTTTTGTACGTATTATTGTTTCCTGTCAAATTTCAATGTACAGTTTTTTCATAATGCCTTACAGGTGGTGTAAATATAAATTTCATATAATGGTCACTAATTAAATGTGTCAAGTCTCTGAGCAAACTGTCTGGTTTTAACTGAACCTGGATCAGCCGAGCGCAGTAGAGGAACAAATAATGTCACATACGTCTTATAGAGCAAACTAACACCTGCAACATAGTTTGACCTGTGTCCAGTGTTATGATGTAAAAATGAAGACGATTTCACAAAACATTAGCTCACAGCGCGCGCGCGCGCGCACACACACACACACACACACACACGAGCTTTTTCTGCTGCAGTGGTAAAAAGCAACATTTACTAAAGTACATTGAGTATTTTCATTTTCTCTTACTTTATACTTGGTACTTCACTACATTTACTGTATCTACACATTTCAGTTACTTTGGAGATTCAGATCAAAATATAACAAATACATTATAATGTACATCCATTTATACATATACTGGGTTATGCACATTTTAAAAGCTGCACTCAGAGAACTGAGTTCTGGGCAGACTGTACAATAATTCACGTTCACTCCACCTTTAACATCCAAGTGAACACATTCATGCATCTATATTAAATGTTGCTACTTTAACTACACCGATACTTTAATCCTCGTTAGTTGTAGCAGAGTATCGCATCACTTCAGTATCTACTGCTAAAGATCCGAGTGCTTCTCCTAATTAGATGTGGTTTATAAGGGATGTTATTTAATTACTGCAGATTATCTGTTTGGGTCATTTGTTTGGAAAAAAAAAGAGCAAAAACCAAACAGGTAAACTCATGACGATTGCAGATTCAATTTTTTTTAATTAAATTGGTTTTTAAAAAAAACATGAGCTAAAAAGGAGATTATAAGCTTTTCACTTCTGTCCAAAACCAAGTAAAAGCATTAAAAAATTTTTTTACTGTTTAATTAACAAGGGGGAAAAAAAAACATGAGCTATAAAGGAGATTATAAGCTTTTCACTTGTGTCCAAAACCAAATAAAAGCATTAAAAATTTTTTTTACTGTTTAATTAACAAGGGGGAAAACTTACTGTTGAGGCTGACACTCAGGTGCGAGCTCCATTTGTAACCAGGTGAGACAGGATGTTTCAGAGCTGACAGCTGCTGCTGTGGGCAGCCACTAGATGGAGCCAGAGAGCTCGGACAGGACGGGATTCCATAGTCCTTTCAAATCTTGTTCTCTTAGGCTGCTGCTGGAGTTTGGGGCTTTCAGGGGGCTGATGCTGAGGTTACTGCAATGCCATGTCACAAATTCAGTAATGCATTTTCACACAGAAAAGAATAAAAAGCTGAGAACGTCTGAACCAGAGTAGCATCTGTTCAAATTTTACTCCTTGTCCATTGACTTCTGTTCTTACATTTTATTAATTCAGCAACACATCTCCAGAGACTGAGCCACTGTGTCCTATCGAAGCATCGTGGGAGTTGCAATTGTTGAATGCTGACTGTCGCTGTTAAACCGAGGAGGTGTTTGATAAACTCGCCAATACGTTTTCAAAAAGAGGACTTACACATATACCCTCAGCAGCATTTCTTTTTTTAAATAAGTGACAGGTTCAAGGTTCAAGGATTTTGTCAATTCACCATATGTGCAGGACATAGAGAAAATCAAAATACCGTTTCTCTCTCACCTAATATTGGTTGCCATAAGATTTAGGAACTAAAATAGAATCAAGTAGAATAAAAATAGAACAGGATAAGAACTGGATTAATATTAGGATAAATCTAAACTGTGACCGTGTACAGCTCCTGTATCAACTCCTATTACAAATATGAAAAGAAACGGTCCCTTTCTGTGTCTTTTCAACATAATTTGTTTTTTGTGCAGGTAACAGATCAAATCAGTATCAAAACAGCTGACGTGATCCTCCCGTCAGTGAATTTCAGTGCAGACAAACGGCGACCGCAGGTATGTCTGCAATGAAAATGGGGCCTCTCACTGCATGTGAGCCAGGGGGAGAATCTGTGGAGGTATTTGGCAGCAGTCTGGGGGCTTTCCTGTGGAGGTGGGGCTGGAGGGCATAAAGGAGCATGGTGCCGGGGGCCTCCGGGATATCACAGCAGGAGATGAGGAGGCTGAGGTCAATGTGAAGGAGGCTGCATGGAGGGGAAGACACGATTCTTTAAAGAGCAAGAAAACTCAAGCAGCAACAGTGTAAATGTGTAAAAAACTACAATGAAAAATAAATCAAATGTCAGATCAACAATCTGCAGTGTTGATGACACCGTTGTCCCTGTGGTGTTCTTCTGCAGGGTGTACAGGAAAAGCATCACATCTTTCAGTGTACCTTATGTTAGTGATTTAAGATGGGAGCCTACTGATTATTTGATAGATTATTTTAATTCCATGGTTGTGTGATTTAAGATGGGAGCCTAATGATCATTTGATAGATTATTTTAATTCCATGGTTTATTTTCATGCATTATGTCCAGTCCTGAGCGTGGCACACCATCTACACTATGAGTGCATGGTTTTCTTTAACTCAAGTAAAAATCTGGGATAACATTTCACTTTGTGAAGTTAAATGTCAGGTTGTGTTCCACAGTTTGACTGATGCCAGCTGGCACATGTACTGTATGTTATTTACTATTCCTACAAAACAACAAGAATCACGAATTGCTTCTATACCCACTTAAAAAAGGTCTGTATGCCTAATATTAATATACAGTGTGGCACAGGGACACAGCCCACGTCCTTTAAAAGCACTAAACTCACCAGATGTGCTACAACTCCTGCACTTAAATGTCCAAGGAAAGAAGTGGCTTTGAAAATGCAAAACTGTGAGTAACATAACTCAAAAAGAATTCAAATTAAAGAGCAACTTAACTGATTGCTGCTGAGCTCTTCTTCCTCTCTCTCCAGGGTGCGTCGGTTCACCGGATCACCACCGAGGGCTGCAGTCACAGGCGCAGCTCCTGATATACAGTATGTGCCCGTTCAGCCAGAAACCAGGTGTATTTAGGCTGATTGGACAGCTGTGATTGGAGGTCTGATGCTGTAACCCCACTTCTGGTTGCTACTGCACAGAATCTGATTGGAAACGAGGAAGATGGCCACTGCCTTATTCAAGACATTTTGGCTTCACTCTTGCACAGCAAAGGGAAGTGGTGTCACCGTGTCCACTGATTCCTGCCAGTAGGGGTGGGCGGCAGAGCCCATTCAATATATTTGATGTACTGCAGCTTGTTGTACGTAGGATGTCTTCATGACATTCGCTGACAATAAGGAGAAAAACAATCTTCTTCTACCTGCCTTTTCTTTTATAAGCTTCACTTGTATGAGACTTTAAATTATACTTGGAAAAAGTAATTGCTATAATTAAAGAGCATGTTTGACGCTGTCAGATTAATCACTGTTTTTAAGATTAAAAAAAAAAGGTACAAAATCTTAAGATTGACAGAATACGGGTCGTAACCTGGGCTGTTCCACCTGTGGTCAGTGGTTGCCCCAAGAGGCCAATTCTCTTTAGCTCGCCTTTCAGTCCTCACACACTAAATGCCGCCACGTCTGATGAAGGGAAAGCTGCTAGGCGCCCAGATGCAATTAGACGCTCCATTATACAAAGGCATATTCAGATAACAGGCGCACCAAAGAGGTCAGTACGTGCCTATTGCTGGGGCTTTTATGAGATTTTTAATAAAACTAAAAAATGCTTCCTTTCTTATTGTAATGACCTAATGAGCGTGCTGGTGGCACTGGGCCATGTTGGTGGGAAAGTCCTGCCGTTGCCCTGTGCTTTATGGGCTCCCTCCTCCAGTGTCTGTATTCAAAGTGGGGAACCAAACAAGCATTTAATTACCAGAAAATGCTATGTGCATTTTGCTTTCTAACACAGTGAATGGCAACATAGAGCTCGTTGAGATTATCAACAAGGGGCCCACTGGTCAACTGGGTCATTGATTTGGATTGTTTGATGGACCCAGAGCCGAGGCTGCAGGAGCAAGCAAAGTTCAAAAATCCCCCTCAGTTGAATTGAGAAGTTTGTCACAGAATCTGTTGGAAGGGGCTGTCAGGAGTGATTATAGGGCATGAAAGCGCTCAGTGGTCAAATAGGGCCTGTCCCAGCACTGCACATTTAATTAGAATTTGCATGTCTTTGTTCCTAACCCTTCAGCAGACCTGATCTGATTACAAGGGTGAACAGTTAGCACCGGGGGAAAGGGGAACTCGCAATGACGAGCCGCAATTATTTGTCTAAAAAAACTGATCAACTGGTTTAAAATGAAAAATTCTGAGCCTGGCCACGTCTCTGCAGTGCGCTGGAAGCTCAGCACAGCTGAAACAAACAGCTGGAGGAGGACTCAGGTTCAGGAGCAGCTGGCAAGACTTCCTC